TAGAATTAGTATAAAAGTGAAGTATTTCTTAACAATAGGAGATGGATTACTTTTTTTTTTTTGCTCACTTGATCACAAACCAATTAGTCTAGTAGAAGACAGATGTTTATCCAAGTGAGCAAAAGTACCATGTGTATAAAGTACCACTACTGTGCTGTGAGATTAAAAAGGCAGCCACACCAGGAGAAATCAGCTGTAAGAGTGAGACCTGGAGGAGGATGTAGGAGATCAGAGAGCCCCATGGCCAAATTTTATACCTGGAAAGGCTGTTGGTGGTTTCCATGCAGGTTTTTGAACTCTGGCTATTGCTCCTGCAAAAAAAAAATCACTGTAATGTTGAAATTAAGTCTGGCTTGCAGTTAAATGTCGGTCATGGCATAAGATTAGAGGTAATGGATTGCTAGTGGATAAGCATGTGGAAGAATTAAATGGATCAACGTTTGTGTTCTCCTGTTTTCATCTGAATTGCTATAATAGCCACAGAAAACACCGTCACAGCAGGTGCTGCTGTGTATCTCCAGCTCAAAAACTAGGGATGACCGTATTTGTTTGCCTCACAACAGCAGTGAATTATTTAAGGTTGGTGAAAATCAGAAGGATCAGGTACAGTCAGCTCTTGTCCAGCGCCACTTTGTATCACTTGTTCCCAGCCATCTCAAAAACTTTCCATAGTTCATTTATGTATACCCTACATTTCAAAAGAGCAAATTGCTGTGATTCGCAGTCCTAAATGTAAATACATTCGTATTTTCACATCAGTGTTATCTAGCTGTAGACAAATCTCCAGGTTTGTCAGCAGCTAAGGTAGTAGTTTGGCCCTCTGTTAGAAGATACTATGATCTGTGTGGGAATTCTATCTAATAATCTGCTAAAAAGGAATGCTTAACTCCTGGAAAAATCACATTCTTACCTTGAACTATGTGGAACATTTAGGAACTAAAAAATACCTTTATGCAGTTTTATTTCTACTATTTTTCTTTTATTTCTAGTGTCTCCCTAATATGTAGTAGTGGGCCATGGATTTTATCTGGAAAATCTCTCTTTAATTATAATTCTAGGCATCTGGAAGAGTAGGCAAATCAGACAAAAGTATTTTCTTTTTCATTGGGCAGAGTTTATTGCCTTAGGCTTTGCTGCCTCTGACATGTTTCCTGCAAAGTTCAGTATGGCTTAGATCAAAAAGCAAACACAGCCCATGATTATAATGATGGAAAGCCTCTGGCTTAGTGCAGAGATGAGCCTTGTGGAAATCTGGTTCAGATAATAACTCCRCTTTAGATACAGAAGTAGAGCTTTTTAACTCCAAATGTTTAACAGTTCCTGGTTTTCTTTTATAAAGACAACTTAATAGAATTTGTGTGCACATTATGTCTTTACACTATAACCTACATAGGACAACAAAAGGAGAGGACCCCCCCCAGGAGTGTCACATCAGTTGGCCACCTTCTGTTCCTCCCTCCCACTGGATAGATTTACAGCTGCTGCCTTGCAGGAACTGCGGTCGGAGGGGTTAGTGCTACACCAAGGGAAGAGCTGCTGCCTTCTCTCTTTCGTCATTTGGTGTGGATGCTGAACATACAGACTGAACTGTTTTTTCAGAGCACAGAAGTCCTTACCCCAGTAGAAAGGAGGAAAATTATCAGGAGTTTTGCCATGTCGAAGAAACCTTCACAAGCGAAACATCCAAAGGAAGCTRTGCCTCTTGCGCACGCTACACACGCCCCTTCATACGCAGTGTGACTGTCACCCTGTGGTGGCACTGAGAGCCTCAGTAGCTCTAGTTACAGCAGACTGTACAAGATAGCCCGTTGCTACACCTGGCTTTCAGCTGGCCTCCTGCCCAGYTCCTACCACAGAGGGAGCTGTCAATTTATTGATTCATCTGCATTTGCTTCTTTCACACGAGATCTTAATTTATGAAGTTACATCAATTTCACCACTSAAATGAGCTGTTATAAAAAAGAAACAACCCAATATCGTGTTTGTGATTACAGCCCATGAGCTGCTGCTGCCTTTCTAATAATAATTTAAGTTCATTTGTATAATTTGAAGTGGCAGATAAAACCTGCAGGCTCTGAGCTGTGACCACAAAATCATTTCTGCCCTTGGTGACAGCATCACCTGCACGAAGCCCTTCCATAGAACGCGGGGCAAACACCGTGGAGAAGAGCGAGCATTGGTACATTTCTACACTGGATTAAGAGCTGGCGTTCCTTAGCAAAAGCACTCTCCCCAGACCCAGATCTTCATTAATCCCCAAACATTCCTTTCCTCCTTGCCCCCGTACACYAAGCCCCACAAGAAGCTGGACATGAAGCCTGCAGGCGGTGACCAACAGCTGTGGTTTGGCCATTCGGGCTGGATGCCCTTCAGCAGCTGTGCAGCGCAGTMCCAGAAATGCAGCGTTTTATTTCTAATTGACATCTGCAAAGAAGTTTGCACAGGGATGGGAGACCAGGATGAGATGCACAAATTGGTTTTAGATATTTTTCAAGGAAAAGAAGAAGCAACAGTCTCTCAAGCTTCAATGCCCACATGCCCTAATATACACCACCATTCCTAAGTAATTCCCCATTTTCCATATGGAAAAAGAAAATCAAACTTTTTAAATGTGATTTCCCCTCTAACAGCTCAACGTTTTTTAGGGTAAAGTTTGTTGAAAATAGTGGGGAGGGAGCAATCCCAAAAAGCTTGGCAGGCTAATGGTGTTTCAGGGCRCTGCTAGATTCTTAGTTCATGCAGCAAATTAAAGGGAACTCCCTCAAGAAAATTGGATTGCAGATTTAAAAAAAACAACCTTTAGTCTCAGCTAATATTATTCTGACACTAAAGTGTCTACCTAGGGACAGCTGTTTCCTCTTCATGACTAAATGCATGAGTAAATTTATTCCATAGAACAAAATACAGGATTATTTCATTTGCCATGCCTGATATCTGTTACTTTGTTTTTCCTTTTTTTTTCTCCTTTTCTATTCTTTGTTGGATTTGCTGAAGATTGTGGATGGTCATTTCCTAGCAATATTCACATCTCTGGGTGTCTTCTGCCACTAAGAAATAGCAAAAGCTTCTGGTAGTGCATTTTGTACCTCAGTGGAGGAGGACCAGGTTGGGAAATACAAGTTAAYACACCTTTAATACAGTGACTCCAAAACACTTTATCTGGGACTGCAGAATTCAGGTGGATTGATTTTCTGGAATATTAAACAAATWACAGATTTTAGAAGAGATCTGATTTCATTACCCTTCATTCAACTGCCCAGAGTAAGTTCTCTTGCAAGAATAAGCCTTTTTTTTCCCCAGAACATTTAAATGTTTYCAGCTTTATTACACAGGTAATTTTTTAGACTACTCAGGCTCCCTGAATATTTTTTAAAATGGCATAAAAAAGTTAAAAATTATTATACCGCTTTAAAATTCTTTAAGGCCTAAAGTATGAGGCTGCTGAGGCTATGAACTACATGTGGATTTAATTTCAGAGTGAGATCCCAATAAAAATTCTTGTTGGAGCTCACCTCTAAATACAATTAGGTATGAAATTTTCCTTATCCAGCCCAGAACAAGAATTGGCAGTAATGAAGAGGCCAKCAGTATCACCCCCGAGCTGCACGTGGGTACCTGTGTACATACACTGCACATGCACAGACACAGGCAGGGCTGTTCCACCAGCAGTTGGTTTATGGACAGAAGTGTGATCATTGTTACCTCTACCCATGATCATTACCATATACAAGAACTGGAACGTTACCTTGTCCAAATAAAGAACTTTCTGGAGCCTCCTAATCTTTTAATGCCAGCTGTGCCTTCTGGAAATTAATTACCCATTTTAATGATACAAACTTCTCCCAAAGCCTTGCAGATGTAAATGACTGCTCCCTTRAGACCACTTAATGCAAAACACCCTTCTTTTTAAATAGTCTTTGAAAAAAGTTCTAAAAACAGAACATACCCAGAGTATTCACTTTATTGCCTTGGTTAGCTACTTGGATATTACTTTTTTCTGCMCTGTTTGTACCTGCTAGGGTTCTTCCAGTCTGGTATTTTCATATGGAAATTTTGCCATCATCTACAAGACATTCTATCACTCATTCAACCTCCTTTTTCTACATTATTTTTTCATTACCTTGCTCTTCATGGGTGCTTTTTCAGGGCCTTATTATACTTACTGGCACAGAACCCATCTTCCTCTTGGTTCATGTTGCTGATCTCTGCCCTGAGGAGAGGCAGCTGGTCCCTCTCTGACCCAGTTCCTCTCCACAAAGGCTGCGATTTCTGAGCCCCAKAAGCCTGCACATCTCCACAACAACTTGTTTTGTGCTGATCCCAGCCCAGCATAAGGACCTGGCACAACCTGTAACTGCCTTTATCACATGCTGATACACTCTGAAATCACAGGCACGAGTTTCTGTAGAAAGCATGAAGAAAAMAATCTAATTTGGCAGTACCCATTTRAGTGGAAAGTATCATTTTAAGCACATTTGATAGATCTATTAAATATGAAAGAACATAGAGGCTGGTAAATTCTTTAGAAACCAAATCATTACTGAGGCAAAGCACTTCCTTCTCCATCGTTGTTTGTTCCACTCTTTTGTATGTGAAAAAGAGTACACCTTATCCTTAGGTAGTTGAGTGTCCTGTACCCAGCATTTGCTAGGCTGAAAAACCATTCTCTTCAATCCTTCAGGTCAGGAAAAAAAATCCTCAGCAGTTAATAATAATTACTTTTTAAAAGCTTTTAAGGCAAGCTTTCACAAACAGGTAACTAAGACATTTGTTTTGACTCTGTAACAGTTCATCAAAATGTAGTGGCTGAATGCATCTC